GGATGAGCAAAGGAAAAAAAAAAGGAGACTTTTTCATCTGTAGGGTTACAGGATGAAAGAAAATGCCCATATACAAAACAAAATTTTGCAGGTTTGGCAAGTTACGCAAAAAAAGGTATCCAAAATGATTAGTGACATATACTGACAAAATATGTTATTTAGGTTTAAGAATTGTGTTCAACATTAAACGTTTCAGCTGGTTTAACACAAAAAAAAAAAAGAATAAAATTACATAAGCCAAGATTAAATAGCAAAAGCACTCACAATGTTTTATAGAGCCGCTATAAAATTACCTGCAACATTGCAAGGTCAGCTCTACACAAGTGCAAGTTGCCACCTCTGAAACAAAAGAGTGAAATTTTTTTTCCCTCTCACCTTTAAATAACACACATTCTTAGCATTGCAAATATGCGATTCTGAAAACCACATGGGCACAGCTGCAACAATATATTATTATTCTGCCTCAAGAGAAAAAAGAAAAACCTGTGACTTCTGCTTTGTTTCTAAATTTAAAAAAAAAAAAAAGAAGTACAATCTGAACATAACACCATCTGAACTTTTTTTGTTTTATTACCAAGAAAGTGCACAACTCTATAAAACAAGAGCTTTGTTGATCCAATTATTACCTTAAAAAAACGAAATCTTGATTATGTGATGTGCCTCTGTATTAGTCATGTACTATGGAATGCCAGCTTCTAAAACTGCAAACTTCCTGAAATAGTTTAATGGAAATGTCAAGAACCCCATCAGAATAGATTTAGGTTCTCTCCCATCTCTAAAGCAGCATTAACAAAACACACACAGAAGAAAAAAATAATTAAAAAAAAATATATTAAACTCAACTTTGAAAGAGAAACACGCCCATGTTAAAGTTAAAATACATTTAATTAAATAAAAAAATCATTCTGAAATATATGCTACAAAGTGGGACAGCCATAATGGTGTGGGTATTGACTTCTGACAAAAGAAATAAGACACATATTCATTAATAATTATATTTTTTCTGCATTATAGTTAACATAGGTATTTTCTTTTGTGTCACCCTTATTTTCTCAGTAAGTATTGATACTTTGTTATATTCAGACCTGTAAATTTTCAAACAGTCCTTTCAAATAAATATCATAAAATAATAGATTCACATAATAAATATTTCTTTACAATAAAAAAGTTCTAAAACAGACTTTTGTCTTAAAAATAGGCAATATTCAATTTTTGTGATTTGTACATAAAATATACAAAAAGAAAAAACTGCCAAGCTGTGGCTAAGGCAAAAACATAGAACACTTTGAAAAAAAAAAAAACACATTGTAGGAAACAGGAAAACAGGTCACCGCCAGGAAACAAAATATCGGATTCCCTGTGATTCCCCGCGAGAAAGAGCTTATTTCGTTAAGGCTACTGAATTTTCTGGCACCTGAATACAACACATTAGTAACAGAGACAAGATAAGGCAAATTGGAGCAGGGTGGGGATTTAAATAGATGTCCTTCAACATAGACAAGGGTGTCTGATGCCAATTCATAAACAAGTCAAAGGGGTGGGAGTTCATGCAGATTAACTCATTCAATGCAGAGTGGCATGCCGAACAGACCCCTACACCTTAAATATAAAAAAAAAAGGGGCATAACCTGCAAAGCTCTTACTTGCAATTGCTAGAATAAAAGCTGAAAGCCTTTCAGGGTTTTGGGAAAAGGTGGGCTTAAAAAAAAAAAGGTGCAGGGAATAACTTGTTGAGGTTACAAAACGTTCATCTATACTAGCAAGAACACAGAATAGAAGTTTAACCAGTGAGATGGTAAAAGAAACTGGAAACGGTTAATGGTGATTAAGCCTTCCTCTAAACAACATAAGATATACATTTTGCTCTCGACCCTCAATGCTTTTCCCTTCGTAACATATCACAAGTCATCTTTCACAGACTACAGCTGATCTGGTTGCTATGAGTTACTGCACGTTGTACATTAACACTGTCGTTTGCACTGCTGTGCGGAATACGCCTGTCGAAAGAAACATGTAGATGTCTAAGCCAACACCTTAGCTAAACCAATTAGGGTGGAAATCGGAGAATTGAAGAGAACATTCCGGGGGAAATGGAGGTACTTATAGCGACATATGTGTATTTGTATAGCCTACACAGCAAATGGATCCATTAGCAGGAAACAACGTTACTCCAATAAAGTCAGGAGGGCTTGCCCTGGCCCCGTGGCACCTCGTCCAGTTTGCAGTACACAGTATTTGAGTTCTTGCACCGACAGCCAGGGCGATTGACTCTGTCATAACAACCGCGGCACAGTTTTAGGCATGCCTTGGCAGGAGGGTAGCAGAGCAAGCACGGTAATACCAAGGACATTGCTCCCATGCACAAGTATCTAGAGCAGCAGTGAGACTGGGTGCAAGAACAAGGGTTATCCGCACACGAGTCCCCCTCGTCATCGTTTGAACAGTGGTAAAAAGCTGCTTTAACGAGACACATGCAAGTGCTGTATTCCACCATGCTCTCAGCAGAGCAGAGACACTGACGGTTGCATGCCAAGCATGACGGTAGGGTCCTTGGAGCTGTGCATTCTGCACACTTGCACTTTCCGCACTGTTCACAAATAAACCTGTGCTGTGTCGAGTCCAACTTTAAAGAGCTCTTTAGGTCATCTACAACCAACGTAGAAGCCTTGGGTTGCATCCGAACTACCCTGTCCGTCCTGTATCCAGAGCCGTTTCTGGGTGGTGGAGATTGCCCCAAAAGTTCTTGTTCAGAGGAGGCACTATTGGTGCTACCAGAACTCGCTGCACTTCCCGTGCTGGTGGATCTACTGAGCACAGGAGCCCTAGCAAAGTACGCATGACCTGTGTGAGCCAGGTGAGGGGGTCTGTGCTCATTGTTATTATTCACATTAATCGGTATGTTCTCGTGAGTTCTCTCCTGCTTACTGTGCCTTGGTGCAGTCTTTGGCCCATGTTTCCTCACCATGGATGGGCCCTCTGTGTACTCATTCTTGTTCCGAAGAGCTTTGATCTGATCCAAAGACAAGATAGCTGCTGGCGGAACTTCCCGCTCATATTCCAACCGTTGCCTACTGTCTAAAGAAGGCTGCTGGATGACCACTAATGAACCGCTAGTGCCATGTTGACTTTGTAGCTCCATCTGTAGGGATCTTTACTTCTGGCATTCAGTGTGAACTTGGCATGCATCTGAAAACCTGCATCAGATCAGAAAAAAAAAAAAAAAACAGTATAAAACACACACATAGAAAAAAAGTGTTCAACACTATCAGCATTCACTTTTACACTAGACATGCACCTGGCATTTTATACTGCTCTAGCAAAGCGTGCAGTAGTAAATATTCAGCCAAACAATTACAGAATTAAAAAACAAAATATTCTAGTTAATATAAACCAGCTCTACCCACACAAGAGACTAACTAGATAATAAAAAAACACACAGGCTACATATCTCAAAAAGGGGATTGTGCAGTAGCACGCACAGCCAGGGCCCTCCTCTTCTATATTGTGACTGCACTGGCTCCCTTTACTTTGTAAAGCTTGTACCAACTGCATTATATTATTGTTAAACAAATGTATATTGTCTAAGCACGTGCATGTTTCTCAGTTCTTCAAACCCCATTCTGCAGATAAAAACCCTAGAACTGCCCCTTTCAATTCTCCAATAAGGAGTCCATGATCAATAAGAAGGAGACCATGATCAATAATTGAACAACTCTAAATTATTTTTTTTAAAAAGCACAAAGCAAACGCTTCTCTTACTTCATTATGTCTTGGAAAAAGTTGGTGAAAAGGCTGAAAGTGCGCAGCGGGACTTGACAATGCAATGCTTCGGTTCCCAGTAAGCCCAACAGTGCTCATAGATTGCTGCTACTCAGGAAAGCATTTTAGAGGCAGCCGGGCATCAGGGTCACTTTAGAGACAGCCGGGCATCAGGGTCACTTTAGAGACAGCCGGGCATCAGGGTCACTTTAGAGGCAGCCGGGCATCAGGGTCACTTTAGAGGCAGCCATGCAAGCAGCCCTGCTCAGAAATGGTGTCCCCTGCCTATGAAGTGATGGGAGGCCAGTTGCCATCAATGGTTTACAGATGTCTGGTGGTGGTGGTGAAGGGGGGGGCATGTAATGATTGTCATTCCGTTCTGTGTGTGGGGGGAGAAGCCCTCTGATAGAGGACGGAGAGGAAGGAAAAACTTATGAATGAAAACAAACCCTTGCTGTGAGGAGGCGGAGGAGGGGGGGGAAGAGAGGTGAACATGACCGCAGGGGGGCGGACTTCCCCCTCATCCACTGCTGTCTTGTCTGATTGACTCGTAGTACCCCAATGCTGGACACACCCCTCCCTGGACTGGCCGGGCATCATGTGCAAGGTGCCGATCAGCCACCCATACACATGCAATGCATTAGAAGGCAGCCCTGCCCGCTTGTGATCACAGGATGGCACACATGCCCACTACCAGTCTCTCTTACCTAGTTGCGGGCAGGATCCAAGCACAATCCCATGGAGGTGAGCCGGGCAGGAGATCCGAGTGGCTCCGCGATGATTAACCATGGGACATGAGGCATGTCATACTACTCCAAGACAAATCATCTCCAGGTACTCATCATAAGACACAGGCTGCTCAGTGACAGCCGCGCTCCCTTCAGTAAACACATCCACACATTCCCTTCACACGAATCAATAGGTACACGGGATTCCCTCCGTACGGTATAGGGCAAGCCAGATAGCAGCGCACGTTAATGTCTGTCAACGTGCCGATCCAATGAGCTGCATGTGATGGGAGGAGGCTGCCACACTGCTTTACCTCCCCGGTCCGTTCTCGGCAAGTAGAATCAAACGATGGCTATCTCCTAGAAATAGAGGCCAGTAATGGTGCACGGCAAGCTAGCAGAGATGGTAGTTCCTCCTATCGCCAAGCATCAATCCCCAGGCTCGCATGTGAACGCCTCTCGGATACTCCAGATAAGAAGAATGGTGATGAATGAGGGTGTCACCCTGCAGCGATCACTCACGACTCCCCGGGACAACCTTCCACGCCTCGCGCTCTTCTGCCTCTGAATGAATGGATTCCTGGAACACGGGGTTTGTTCAAGGAGGGGCTTCTCATTGGCTGGCGCTGGAGAGTGGAGGAAAAAAAACAGAACGTGGGGCTGCCCCGTGCCCTCTGATTGGCTGAGCCGAGGGGGCGCGCTCGCTGCAGTGGCGCGGCCTGAGGCTGGGAAGAGCGGAGGGAGCTGCAAGGTGTATTCGGAGAGTTCCTCTCGGAGAGCGAGCATGGGGCTCAGGGGGCAGCTCCGGGCTCGGCTTAGCATCAGTGTGGCAGCAGCGAGAGGGACCGTGATCATAAACAGCACAGGAGATGTGCAGAGCAGGTCACTACACCCGGGTCCTAGATCATAACCAGCACAGGAGATGAGCAGTGCAGATCACTACGCCCGGGTCCTAGATCATAACCAGCACAGGAGATGAGCAGTGCAGATCACTACGCCCGGGTCCTAGATCATAACCAGCACAGGAGATGAGCAGTGCAGATCACTACGCCCGGGTCCTAGATCATAACCAGCACAGGAGATGAGCAGTGCAGATCACTACGCCCGGGTCCTAGATCATAACCAGCACAGGAGATGAGCAGTGCAGATCACTACGCCCGGGTCCTAGATCATAACCAGCACAGGAGATGAGCAGTGCAGATCACTACGCCCGGGTCCTAGATCATAACCAGCACAGGAGATGAGCAGTGCAGATCACTACGCCCGGGTCCTAGATCATAACCAGCACAGGAGATGAGCAGTGCAGATCACTACGCCCGGGTCCTAGATCATAACCAGCACAGGAGATGAGCAGTGCAGATCACTACGCCCGGGTCCTAGATCATAACCAGCACAGGAGATGAGCAGTGCAGATCACTACGCCCGGGTCCTAGATCATAACCAGCACAGGAGATGAGCAGTGCAGATCACTACGCCCGGGTCCTAGATCATAACCAGCACAGGAGATGAGCAGTGCAGATCACTACGCCCGGGTCCTAGATCATAACCAGCACAGGAGATGAGCAGTGCAGATCACTACGCCCGGGTCCTAGATCATAACCAGCACAGGAGATGAGCAGTGCAGATCACTACGCCCGGGTCCTAGATCATAACCAGCACAGGAGATGAGCAGTGCAGATCACTACGCCCGGGTCCTAGATCATAACCAGCACAGGAGATGAGCAGTGCAGATCACTACGCCCGGGTCCTAGATCATAACCAGCACAGGAGATGAGCAGTGCAGATCACTACGCCCGGGTCCTAGATCATAACCAGCACAGGAGATGAGCAGTGCAGATCACTACGCCCGGGTCCTAGATCATAACCAGCACAGGAGATGAGCAGTGCAGATCACTACGCCCGGGTCCTAGATCATAACCAGCACAGGAGATGAGCAGTGCAGATCACTACGCCCGGGTCCTAGATCATAACCAGCACAGGAGATGAGCAGTGCAGATCACTACGCCCGGGTCCTAGATCATAACCAGCACAGGAGATGAGCAGTGCAGATCACTACGCCCGGGTCCTAGATCATAACCAGCACAGGAGATGAGCAGTGCAGATCACTACGCCCGGGTCCTAGATCATAACCAGCACAGGAGATGAGCAGTGCAGATCACTACGCCCGGGTCCTAGATCATAACCAGCACAGGAGATGAGCAGTGCAGATCACTACGCCCGGGTCCTAGATCATAACCAGCACAGGAGATGAGCAGTGCAGATCACTACGCCCGGGTCCTAGATCATAACCAGCACAGGAGATGAGCAGTGCAGATCACTACACCCGAGTACTAGATCATAACCAGCACAGGAGATGAGCAGAGCAGGTCACTACACCCGGGTCCTAGATCATAACCAGCACAGGAGATGAGCAGAGCAGGTCACTACACCCGGGTCCTAGATCATAACCAGCACAGGAGATGAGCAGAGCAGGTCACTACACCCGTGTCCTAGATCATAACCAGCACAGGAGATGAGCAGTGCAGATCACTGCACCCGGGTCCTAGACCATAACCAGGATCTATCAGTGGAGATAAGCAGTGCAGCAAGTCATACTCTACCTGCGGTATAGAGTTATGGGGTGCTGCAGTCTCCCTAATCATGATTCTGGGTCTAGATCACTATTTTGCGACATGGATATACCATAGCACCTTTTTTCAGCTGTATCTATTGAAGGTGCTGTACTCACCCTGATCAGGTTTCCATGTCTAGGTCACTAGGCCATAACAAGGTCCTACCATAGCACCTTTCCTCAGATGTATCTATGGGAGGTGCTGCACTCACCCTGATCAGGGTTCTGGGTCTAGATCACTAAGTCATAACATGGATCTTCCATAGCACATTTCTTCAGGTGTAGCTATGGGAGGTGTAGCTATGAAGAAATGTGCTATGGAAGATCCATGTTATGACTTAGTGATCTAGACCCAGAACCCTGATCAGGGTGAGTGCAGCACCTCCCATAGCTACACCTGAAGAAATGTGCTATGGAAGATCCATGGTAAGACTTAGTGATCTAGACCCAGAACCCTGATCAGGGTAAGTCTTACCATGGATCTTCCATAGCACATTTCTTCAGGTGTAGCTATGGGAGGTGCTGCACACACCCTGATCAGGGTTCTGGTCTAGATGACTAGGTCACAACAAAGATCTGCCATAGCACCTTGTTTCAGGTGTATCTATGAGAGGCGCTGATGCCCTGATCAGGGTTCTGGGTCTAGATATAGTTTATAATAAGGATCAGACATAGCACCTGACTTCAGGTGTATGTATGGCAGGCAATGCATTCAACCTGATCAGGGTCCTGGGTCTAGGTCATAGTAAGGCTGAGCAGGCTGCACACAGAGGTAACTGCTGTGCTGTAGAAGTGTACAGATTAGCACTGAGTAAGTGTTCAGGATCAGTGCTATAGAAGTGGGCAGGAGTACAGTTGTGTGGAAGATCAGTGCTAAAGATGCGTACAGGATCAGTGCTACAGATGCGTACAAGATCAGTGCTACAGATGCGTACAAGATCAGTGCTACAGATGCGTGCAGGATCAGTGCAACAGATGCATGCAGAATCAGTGCTACAGATGCGTGCAAGATCATTGCTACAGATGTGTGCAGGATCAGTGCTATACATGTGTGCAGGATCAGCTTGCATGACCTCATTTATAAGAGTGCACATTGTCAGTTTACATGCCTGGTGCTATAGAAGAGCACATTGTCAGTGTTGTAGCAGAGTGTTGTACACGCTCGGCGCTGTATCCTCCGATGGGCCCGCACTTGTCGGCGGGGAGCTCCTGTCATCCTGTGATTAGAGCTGCCCTCGCCTAGTTTCCTGAGGTAAGGAAGAGCCGTGACCTGGGAGGGGGATGGGGGCGGGGACGATGAATAGCACTCACCTTCCAGTCTGTCCGGCAGTGAGAGTGTTAAGTGTGTGTTTCCCTATGGAGGACAGCGGAAATAGCGGAGTGTCTGGCTGTGAATGAGAGGCTTGTTGTGGTAAACAGCAGCAATAATGGGCTCCCTGGGGTATTGCCCGGGGCAGTACGGAAGGGCAGCCCATGTTCACTTAGTCTTCTCATTTCCTACCTTCAAAGTGCCTGATGCTAATGAGCCCTATTAGAAGCCATGGCTGCCCCCACCCCACAGCTAACAAAGCCAGTTCCGAGTTTATCAGCAGCAGGCATTGAGCTGTGATCAGACACTATGTACTAAGTGGATGGAAGCACTGATCACCTTTATTAATTACTGCCACAATACGTCTGCCCGAAGATGAGCACATGTTCTATCCTGAACACATTGGATTAAAGTGACTCGCTCATGAGAAAAGCATGGTGGCTGCCATTGCTGAATCCTACCAAGTCATGCTCATGCTTTATTTCACATTAAGTACCTTTCAGTCATTAGAAGGATCATGAAACAGACGGCTATGTATCCCTATGGGCAGTCAGGTAAACATGTGCGTCCGTTTACATATGTACATCTGTTTACATGCGTGCGTCTATTTACATATGTGTGTCCATTTGAATATGGGTTGTTCGGGTTAATCAGATTAAAAGCAACCATTTTACATCCAGGGATATAAATGTATACACATTAATTTACATCCGGCTGCCCATAGATACATCTAATCATGGATGAAAAACGGAGAGGACGCCGTGCGAAAGAGACCTTAAGGCTGGGTTCACACCTAGGCGTATCGAATATGCGCGTTTGTCGCGTGTTTCCTTACGCGCGTTTTTATAGTTTCCGAGGGCTACTTGGCTGTATCCCAATGGGAACGCGTGACAAAAACGCCCCAAAGAAGCTCCTGTACTTCTTTGGGGCGTAGAGCGTTTTGTAGCGCGTTCATACGGCCTGTAATACGCCCAGGTGTGAACCATACCCATAGGAAATAATGGGATTTTGGTGTTTGAGCGTTTTGCAGAGCGTAGGAACGCGCTACAAAACGCCCAGGTGTGAACCAGGCCTTAAAGAAACAGCATGACTTGGTAGGATTCAGCAATGGCAGCCCC